TTCACCTTAGCTGTTACAATGTAATAAGGGTTAACTGGAGAGGCAGTTTCTGTAAGCAGGCAATAAAGGCTAGGAACAACACCAGAATGTTTCCTTCCTGCATTCCTTATAGGATTAGCCTGTAAAGTGGAAAAAAACAAAATGAGATTTCTTCCAACAATCGATTCTCCAAACTGCTTAGAAAGTTACCAACCGGTTCTCCCGAATAGGTGCGAACTGGCTGAATCCCACCACTGATTCACTCAGAAAATACCATCATAGAATTTCCCAGAAATCCAGATGACTGAATTGAAAACTTTGTTTTTAGGAATGCCGATCAATCTTATTGTCAGGTTTCCAAATAGCATCCAAAATTAAATCAGAGTCCAAGGCAAAGTAATGCTCAAAGTTCCAATTTATTAAGAGAGCCATGTTGGCACATCTGGGGAAACCCGAATCTGAAAGCTTCCTGGTTTGCCCCACCCAGTTGAAAGTTCAAGATCTTGCCCCCACACCCACAAGTCCATCACATGGTCCAATCTTCCACTGCCATGCTGGCAGTTCCACAAATCCAGTTCCGGTCAGATGCAAAGGTGTAGAGAAAAAAGATGACCTTGGATTCTAGAAAGGAATTTTATTTTGGCTGCATAGCATTCCACTCCTTACCATCCCACAAATAGAAACGACATAGTAGAATAATAGAAAGTGTGGCAGGCCAAAAATCCTAAAGGGAATATGGCTGCAGGCCTGACCCTTAGAAGTTCCAGCAGACTTTGGAAGCTGAGATGCTCAATATTGTTTCCTCTGGCATTGGAGTATTTGTTTAATATATGCAAATGTGTTTTTGTAGTTATTTGTGTTATTCTATTTTGGTTTCTACCTGATCTACAGATATCAGCAATGTACACCACTCAAAGTCATCTATGAGTGGAGCAGCATACTCCATGTCAATGACTAAATAACAGATAAACATTGCTAAGCATTTCCAATTTTGTTTCATTTATAATATGAGTTGTAATATCCCTAGTAGATTAAAACATAAAGGTTTTCAATATTCTTAATAGGGTTTCTTCTTCTTCTTAGAATTGTAAAAAGACATACCCGATGGGTTTAATTGGGAAGAAAATCCTATTTATTAAAATAATTGCAGAGTTTAAAAAGTATAAATGATAGCAATTGAAAATAAAACTTACTAATATTTCAAAAAAAGCTCTGTACAAAAGACTAAATAATGCAAGGTAAAAAATAAAAAACAAGAAATGCAATAATACAATAACATTTCTCTAATTTTATATAATATAGAAATAGTAATACCAGAACTGTTACCAACACAGCAATACAATTACTGTTATATAATTTGAATGATTCAACACTAGATGTTTTTAAGAAGGGATTGGACAATTATTTGACTGAAATGGTATAGGGCTGTGATGGTGAACCTATGGCACGCGTGCCAAAGTTGGCACGCAGAGCCCTCTCTCTGGGCTTGCGTGCCATCACCAGCTGCTCTTCTGGGTTCCAGTACATGCATGCGTGCTGGCCAGCTGGTCTTCGTGCGTGCAGGAGTGCCAGAAACTGGAAGGGCAGCTGCACTGTGCGCATTCATGTGCCCAAAACCGGAAGATCAGCTGGCTGGTGTATACATGTGCACTAGGCAGGCAGATGGTCTTCCAGTTTCTGGTGCGCATGCGCACATGTACCCATGCATCTTCTGGTTCTGGTACTCAGTTCTGAAAAGGTTCACCAATACTGGTGTAGGATTTCTTACCTGAGCAGAGAGTTGGACTAGAAGACCTCCCAGGTCCCTTCTAACTCTGTTATTCTATTAAGCCTATACCATACAAAATTGTGTTGTCCAATCTTTGAATTCCCCAGGTCATAGGATGAGAAGAAAATTCTAGAACAGAAGAATCTCAGCTGAGAAAAAGGTCAAGAAATATAGAGCTGCCTTATAGCAAGTGAGACCCCTGGTCTGTCTATTTCCATATCAGAACTACCCTATTATTCATCAGAATAAGGCTTCAGCTTCCTGCCAAGTCTATACAGAATTCTTCTTCCTGGGCTCAGGAGGCAAATAGTCTGCCTACTAGGAAACCTTCAACAAACTTTCTTCAAGCTCGGATGGAACAAATGGCATCCTATCGTGTCAGCTAGTCTCTTCCAACTACGAAAAATGGTTGCGTCTTGTTCTTGTTCTAAAAGTCCTCACCACCAGCATCAATAAGAGATCTGCCCCAACTCGGTTGGAAACTAAATCCTGAACCCTCCATGCAAAGTAGGACCTTTAACACTAAGATCTTCAATTTCATTATTGGTTGGAACAACATATACATTTACTAAAGTGAATAAGAACATAAAACACTGGTTTTTTTCAAGGTAGGCTATCACTTTGACCTCTAATGATAAAGAGATAGAAAGCAAATTAATTACCTGATATTTGCAAGTCAAGCTGAGAACCCAAGATAAGAGTAAATGCAAATTATTATTATTGATATACCCTCATACGCATCTTCCCCTATGGCTTAATGAGACTCCTTGAACTTGAGAGACAGGTGATCCTAGCTGTTGGACTGTAGTCTCTGCCCATGTGAAAGGATATCTCTGAATTGTGGTTCAAAATCATCTACTCCTACATCTGACAATTCACCACTAAACAACTGGAATTGAGATACTGCCCTAGTATGAAAATCCTTGCTCATCAACACAAACTGGACTTATTTCAAAACCGTTGCTTGCATAGACTTATGAAAATCAAGTACTCTGAAAGAATATCCAATGCTGAAATCCGCCGA